GTTTTTTGTCTTATTTATCAAATTGTCTGAACAATAGCATAAGGTGTCGTAGAGTGATAAAGAAACAGAATAATTAAGAGTGTTTTCTATGGTTTACCAGCAATGTATAGTAAAGTTGGGCTTCAACAAAGATGTTAAATGTACAAATGAGCAAACTACGATTATTACTGAAATATTTTTCATCCCTAAACTGCCTCTTCTGCAACGATTGGGGAATAATGAGAAATAAGGATGCAAGCTCAACAAAACAAGTAAGCCTGAGCAAATTTGAGAAATTGTAAAAACATTACACCTGCAAAAATGGTATTGTGTTTGCAACGTATTGCAACAAATATGTGTTGTTGCTATGACATGTTGAAGATAACATCCTGCACACTCTCGTTGTGCTCTTTAAATCCAAGCTTTACTTTGCTTACATACAGCATAATAGGTGCATGTAATGTATAGTAACTTTGTCAAAATGATTATATTATTTCAGTATTCAGTACATTTTCTCATAACTTTAATGCATGCAAAACTTACAGTAACCTCCGAAGGTTTAACCGCCTGCTGCCCTAAGGCCAAAATGGCCCACGAGGCTTCATTTGAGGCTTTGTTGGTCATTTTGCTCCAGGGACAACAAGACGGTTAAGATTAATGAAATTTCATGTGATGACTTAGGATACAAGGTGGAGATACCTTTAGTTTCACATCTGTGTTACTGTGCAGTTTCTGTCTGTGAGGCTGACACCTTGTCTATGTTTAAAACTAGGCTTAAGTTGTCCCTTTTTGATAAATCCTACAGTTAGGATTGGCTTGGTTTCCTGACTTATTTCTTCTCCTATGCTGCTATAGGCTTAGAATACTAGAAAACAACTGGACCTCATTTCATCAAATTAATAGTTTGTATTTGTAATTATTTCTATCCTAACATGTGCCTTTTTTATTTATTTTTTGTCTTTCCTCCTAGTGAGGGACTTGCTCTCCTGCTCACCTCTACTCTGGATCTGCCATTCTGTGTCTGTTTTCCCCCTCCCGTTCCTCTCAAACCCAGCAGGTCGAAGCAGATGGACGCTTGTCCTGAGCCTGGTTCTGCTGGAGGTTTCTTCCTGTTATGAGGGAGTCTTTCCTTCCCACTGTTACCTTGTGCTTGCTCAGGACGGGAGACTGCCATGAAATGAATACTCAATGCATTCGGCTGGCTACGCTACCCTACCTTAGATAAATAATGTTACTAATTGAATTTTAATGTATATGAATGTTTTTGTGCAGCGTGACTTGATGCTATATGAATAAACTGAATTGAATTGAACTGTTAAGAGTGGCAAAAACAAGTGGCAGTCGTTGTCTTTAACACCACCAGAGCTACTCAGTCTGATGGATAATGCGCATGTTGCTCCAGTTCACAAAAGCAATAAATCTCTGTGTGCCAGCAGAAGAAGTGTTTACACTAATACTTGTTTCAGTGTGTCTGTTTGGTGCTTAGGCTGCATTCTGAATAGTGTAAAGAGACAATGGCTGAAAAAAACCCACATTTTCTGCTAGTACTGTATAGTCATGACATTATGATTCATACAATGGAATATTTTACCCGTGTTATTATATATTATCTGAACTGTAAGCAAGAAAGAACTGGGATGTCCTCTCAGCTGTTCAGTAATATTGGTGAGAAGAAGCAGCTCTTGTTACGTGGGGTTTAGGCGTCTATAATCACTTTTGTGATGAGGCGTGTTTTAAAATAAAGCAGCCTCGCACCTCCAAACACATTCTGACTGCTGGTCCCAGAGCAGCGGGTGGGTAAAGTTTTACCATAAAAGACATCCAGCTTTATATAAGAACATCAGTTCAAAATGTCATGCACAGACATGGTTTTCATTTTAACATTCAGTTTGGCCATAAGAAAAACCTCCTGCATATTCCAGAGAGACATCATGTGACGTTGAAAATCACCAACGCTACCTTATTGAGGTGCCTTTAAAACATTGTCAGAGAGGTGAACAGATGGCGGCTGCGGTTAATCTTGGGGGGCACACTAAAAACAAACGTTAAAGCAGAATTTCTACAGTTTCATCATGCTGTTGTCACTTGTTCACTTATGTCACTCACACTTTTTCTGCCATAATGGATGGATATTGGCTGTGTATTGTTTATTTGTGCACTTAGCGTTAGCCAAAGTTTATTGTGCTGTTATTATTCTTAAGGCAAAAGTTGGGACAATACCATTACACCACACAATACATAACATTTATAGTCACCATCACACTTTTCTTCACACAAACATCCGAGCGCAGCTCATCATTAAATACTGTATAGAGCCCTCAGAGCAACATTAGAATGGAGGCAGTCAGAAACATGTGGAGGTGTATTCAGTACATATTCAAACCCAGACTGAGGTTTGATTCAGGCAATGGGGCAACTCATTTCAGAAAAGCAATCAGTCATTGGAAATGGGTTGAAAAAGGATGTTACCAGGCGATGGGAGGACACAATTCACATGTGAGCTCCAAGGAGCATAGTGGGAAAATGGAAATGCAGCATTCTTGTTGCTTTGTTCACTTTGAGTGTTTTGAATCCTGTCTGCAACTGGCTGTTAACTTGTTTATACATTCAGACTTTCATCCCTCACCAGCTTTTGTCTCGTTTTTGCTCGAGTGAAACAAATCTCCAGAATGTACATCCCTCTGACATGGACACTGTTAGTGAGTGGACCGGCTCCAACCAGGATGGGCTTTGTTAATGCTACATCGCTAGCAAATTAAACTTTTAGATTTTGTTTAATTTTCAATTCAGTTTATTTATACAGCGCCAAGTCGCAACAGAAGTCGTCTCAGGGCACTGAACAGAAACATGCATGCAAGTTAACATTATTTATCTGAGGAGCAGACTGCTTTGAGTTTAACTCCAGCGCAGAACTCGCATCTTGAGCAAGCATGAAGGTGACAGTGGAAAGGAAAAACTCCTTCATGAGGAAGAAACCTTTAGCAGAACCAGGCTCAGGACAAGCGGCCATCTGCTTTGACCAGCTGGGTTAGAGAGGAACAGGAAGGAGGAACAGATACACAATGGCAGGATGAGAATCACATGTGAAAATAGAAATAATATCAAATGAAAACTATTCAATTTTAACAATTCATTTAAGGAAATGAGGTCAATTTGTCTTCCCGTAGACCAAGTCTATGGCAGCATAACAAGCCAACCTTGATTAGGTTGGATTACTTAGGATTTATCAAAAAGGAAAGTCTTAATCCCAGTCTTAAAACTGCACAATGTGTCAGCGTCACAGACAGAAACTGGAAGTTGGTTCCACAAGAGAGGAGCCTGATAACTGAAATTTCTTCCACCCATTCTGCTTTTGGAAACTCTAGAGACCACGAGATAACCTGCAGTCTGAGAGCAAAGTGTTCTTTTAGGAAAATATGGAACAATAAAATCTCAAATATTACATGGAGTTAGGTTGTTGAGGGCTTTGTAGGTTAGAAGTAAGATTTTGAATTATAGTCTGGATTTGACAGGGAGCCAATGGAGAGAAGCTAAAACTGGAGAGATATGATCTCTCCTACTAACTCCAGTTAAAACTCTGCAGCAACATTTTGGATTAACTGAAAACGTATCTAAATAAGTATTTGGACACCCAGATAACAAACCATTGCAATAGGCCAGTCTAGACTAGACAAATGCATGAACCAGTTTTTCTGCATCATTTTAGATAAGATGTTTCTAATTGTAGTGATACTGCGCAAGTGGAAGAAGGTGGTACTAGTAACGTTTTTAATGTGGGAGATAAAAGACATGTCCTGATCAAAAATAACACCAAGATATTTAACAATAAAACTGGAGGTCAGATTAATGTCGTCCAAGGAGGGGGAAAGACTGAAAAAAATCATTCCTAAGATGTTTGCGATGGAAACCTGGCTGATTGTTGGTGAGTAGCAGGTGTTTATAAAATGTATAAAAAACAAACTTTTTTTTTCTAATTTTAATGAAAATAATAGCTTTTATCAGAAACCACTTAAGGCAATAAACAAACAATAATGAACCGTTCGCATTTTCCATCAAAAGTATTGGATAAACATAGATCATGAGCTGAACGAGTATTGTAGGCTTTTTGAAACAAAAATGATACTGCAGTGTAAATGTTAGGCAACATGCTGTATGAGTAATGAATACTTTATTTTTTTTAAACTTTACTTTTGATATTACTAACTCAGGACAGCATAGTCTATATTTAATGTGTTTAATTATTTTCTTATAAAATCATATTCATAATTGAAAGGAGCATCCATTGAAAATAAATGTACACAGTATTGTTTTGCATGCCAAAGTTTTAAATGAAGATCTCATGAGATATATTAGTGCTCAGAGTGTGCTGTGAATAACTCCAGGTATACAGCCACATCAAATCTGAGTTCAAAATATGCAAAATTTATTGTTATTAAAATGTTATGTTTACTAAGGTCGGTTAGCCATGACAGCTATCTTGAATCAAATTGACTCCAAAAGTCAGTCATTGGTAGAGGTACATCAAATGGTTACTTCATGAGAGTTTTATTAAAAGCTGCCAAGATATTTTGCTAACATACATACAACTGAAAGGATGGGGGACCAGAGCAAACAGCAATTACCCCCCTGGCCTCCCCGCTTTGTGGCGCCCCTGTTTCTCATATAATCTGAGAAAACGTTTAAAAACGTGTAGGGCATAATCGGACTCTTATGCTTTCCAAGGCACTGAAGTTAAGCCTCAAATAAAAACGACATCTCTCTGCATTATGTTTCAGTAATTCAACCCAACACGATGCAACGTTTGAGAAACTGCAGGGGGAAAAAGCGGTTTGGCAGAGGCCCTGAGATCTGTTCAATGTGGAGTTTGTTTTAGAAGAAGAAGAAAAAAAAAACTGTCATTTTTGGAGTCGTGGTTTACTCCAACGTAAGCGCGAGCGCACCAATGAGAGCCTCGGACTCCCCACCCTGTACCTGCCTCCTTCCCCCTTCCCCTTTTCCATCCACACACACCACTCACTACAGAGCGCGACGTGCCGCGTAATGCCACATCTGGAGACGCTTCCCACCGCCACCGAGCTCAACTTCAGCTGCGCAAAACTCGCAGGCATTTGCGACTTAACCTGCGCGTCACATTCTCTTGATAGTAAGTGGTTCGAGTCCAGGTCGGCGTTCCTCTCTCTCTCGCTCTCTCTCTGTACATTTTTTTTATCTTCTTCAAAATTTTACATTACCATTTGTAAACACAGCCTGAGACTTCCATCCATTCAGAGCTGTTAGCCACGCTTACCATTTCTGCGTAAAACACGATTTTAGTCATGCTTTTTGGAGAAACCTTAAAAGTACTGGTGTAGTTGTGCATTGATTAAATTGAAAAGCACACTCCCAGAAGCATACGCTCTGCTCTGTCACAAAATTGCTAATATTTACTTTTGAATGCAAAAAGTAAACCCTGTGTGAGATTCTGGCTGCGGTGCGTTATGGTGACATGCGTCAGAGAGGAGCGCAGTTGTGAAATTCAACAGCCTCTGGTGATGGAGGATGAGTCTCACTCTTATTTTAGTTCATGTTTATTTATTTGTGTTCCGATTCCAGCTCTGATTTAGAGTTTGGAAGAGTGGAAGAAACCCAAAAGGCGCGCGCAGCTCCACACTGAAGTGTTTAAGTGAAGTTTGCGGGTAAATGATATTAAAAAAAAAAAGACCTAAAAATACAGCGTTGGTTTTCTTTCCCCTACAAAGAATCATTTGAACTTCCCACTCCAGTGAGAGAGAGCGACATAAATAGTTCTGACATGTGGATGTAATTTCAGAAGAGGAAAAAAAAAAAAAAAAATAGACAGATGCAGAGAAATAAGGCGAGCGGGCTGAACCGGACCATATTGTAGATTATAGGAAATTAAATCGAGACGATTACAGAGTTATGATTGCACAAACCGCCAGAAGCACCGAGAGCCCACATGGAGTAAAAAGACACATCTCGCTCCACTTTGAAGAGAGTTAAATAGATTAAATCCTCGATTCTGAGCTCCTTTTACGCTCGTTTAAATCGAGCGAGAAGAAGAAAGAAGAAGAAGAAGAAGAAGGGCTTTTGGGAGGTAGAGTCGCCTCAGGTCAGGGATGGGATCCTCCCTGCTGCTGCTCCACAACCTGGACTTTGTGCTCATCTCACTCTTCAGCACTGTGTGCCTGGTAAGCCCCTTTAATATTATATTATTCTGTGTGCTGTTGCACATGCAGAGCTCCACATGTGCTTCCTGATATAGTGACAGCTTGACAAACACTTCAACCCCCCCCCCCCCCCCCACACACACACACACATTTAAATATACATTCATGTGTTGTGCAAGTTGCACAAATATTGGGTTCGATTGCGACTGATTGAATCACTTGCTGTGATTGGGGTTGCATGCTTTCTCCTCCTCGAGGATGAAGATTGAAATAAGAAGCTGTTGACCTCCAGTAGCTTTGCTGCACGTCACACTTGGACTGCAGTGCTCATAACAATGCGATGCATCGGATATCTCATTTGGAGATAAATGAAAGTGGATTGAGGAGGGAAGGTGCTGACAACAAACAGCTGGGATTAGTGATCTTGATCCATTAGTGTATTGCCACAACAATACAATAAATGTGTGTGTGTGTGAAGTGGTTCCTGGCTCCTGCAGAATTTATCATGTTTGATACAGATCCCTATTTTAGCATTACACCTGCCTGGACCAAAGCAATTAGGGCAAATTTGTCTTCCTCCAGCAGCAACTGCTTCATCTTTCCTACTCACAGGGGCATGGTTTACTTCAATATTGTCGTAGCTGTCTCCATAAAGTTTGCTGCACACACAATCTCACACACACACACTAAGGCTGAGCAGGCAAAGCGAGTTGGTTCTGTGTGTTTTGGCTGCGTCTGTTGTGCATTCAACAGGGCAGTCCGCCCAGTCTCTGAGGTACAGCGCATTTTCCCAGTGATGTGGTCCATCACCACACCACAGTGGACCTCTGGGCTCGTTGCTTCAGATGGCAGAAGAAAACAATTAAAACACAGCCGTGTATTTATGGCTGATTCAACATTGGGTCATTAAAAGGCGCTGTCTGTGAGTGATGTTTGCCTGCTTTTTAAGTCTGGTGTTTTTTTATTTAGTAAAAAAAAATCTATTTCTATTTCAAACTGGGGCCATCTGAACTCAGAGTGGAAACTCTCTCTCTGTGTGTGTGTGTGTGTGTGTGTGTGTGTGTGTGTGTGTGTGTGTGT